ATCATACACACTAATGATTTGAGTGATAAACCAGTGTCATGGAAGTACCTTTAGGTTAGCTCTTCTATATCACCCTAGGATGGTATAGACACTAATTAATCACTCAAAGGTGTAATGATCATAAGTAAATTATTATATATACACAACTCAACTCGAGTTGATGAAAATTTACACCCAAAATAGGGTCTGCACCATTCATTAATGGTGCTAGGTTGTTTAATATAGTACAACTAGACTATGGTAATGGGACTAGGATGAACAATAAATAGTTCAACTAGTCAATGGTAATATCCTACCCTGTTGTGGGTTGGCAATTAGTAAATATTGTATTGTGAACACTAGGCAATATATTAAATAATTCTCTATTTTGGAGAAATAATATACACAATTATTGATAATAGCCTCTATGAAACTTCTAATATTATCAAGAAGTATTAAATATTATTAGTGACCTCGCGAAATAAACTCCACAAAATTCGTGGGTAATCTCTCGCGAAATTTAACACCACGAAATCCATGAACAATCTCGCGAAGACACAGCCACTAATCTGGCTGGCTTCAATATTAGCACTGTCATTTCACGAAATAACACGCCACCAAATATCTGTGGGTGTCCCTGAAACCACTGATGAGGCTGAACTGAACTGAGGGGGGCTCCTGAGCTCGCACTAGGCAACACCGCCGTCTTTGACTGCTGGCTTTGTATAAATCACACTGCACTAGTATATTTAATGAATCCACTGGTTAACTGGTTCATCCGGTACTAAGATGACCAAATAATCTGTCATCCGACTCGCAGATGACCAATAATGTGGGTTCAAAGGACCAAATATTCCGGTTCCGAAGGTCCAAATAATGTGGGAACCAACCTGTGAGATTTATATTTATTTAATTTATATGAATTTATATTTACGTTAATTTATATACTTCGATAGCAATTTGTATGATGTTAAGTGGACTGTATTTCTGCAATAATTTCACAAATCGATCCTCTACACATTAGGGGGGGTTTATATTAAATTTATATATATGCAGCCAATCAAACTACAGTATTAACTACACATTAGTGTACATTGAAGAGGTTCCTTATCTTATTGTACAGCAGGCCTTAGTCCACCAGGTATAACCAGGATGTAGACACCATTATCCTCTTTGAGGTAGCTTCCATCACCCAGTAACTGGTACACAAAGCATGCTTCCTCGTCTTGACCTGTCAAAAGGGCGCTAGCTATGAAGCCAGAAACCTAATATATGACAGCTATATCAGAGAAAACACTGTACATGGAACCATAAAGACCTAGGCTTAATTACCTTGTTTGAGTCGATCATTCGTGTTCTAACCGGTACACTACTGACATTAATGGCCAAAAATGATTAGATAAACGGGTTTCGGAAAGACATTTCCCTTGAGATTGATGACAGCGTGTTGATGATGGCAGATCACTACTCTGATCTTCCATAACACTTCGTCCAAGAGAATTTATAGGAGCCGTAATTTGCTCCACGACTCTGTAGTCTTAAACAATAACAATGGCTGACCACTCCCTCCTCCCTGACGCTACTGGCCTACATTCTCCAGATGACAGTAAGTGAAAGAAGGGTCACATTTACTCTATTTTAATTCTGATAATTAAGTTAATTTATATGAGATGTTTTTATGATGGTAAAGTCCAAAGACTAATGTATTTAAGAATAATTCCCACCATAATAGGTGGTGAATTTATAATAGTATGTGGTAATGATATCCCGTTTTCTATAGACGGAAATTCCACTACAAGTTACATTTTCTATGGGTTAACTTGTTTATACAACACAGCAATATTATCTGCCTGTATGATATTATTAAATGGTGTCGGATTTTCCGACATAATTCCCCTGGGGGCTGCTCACGGGTCGAAGTCCTATTTAGAACAGACGAACACCGATACTCCTCCTTCGAATTATTAGATTAATTTGATGTCAGATGCACTCTACAGTGACGACCATCCCCGTATGACTGAGTATGCTGTAGTACTCTACGGTGACGACCATACCCTACGAATGTGTAGGCAGTAGTACTCTACGGTGACGACCATACCTTACGACTGAGTAAGCAGTAGTACTCTACGGTGACGACCATACCCTTACGACTGAGTACCCTGCCTACAGTGACGACCATACTCTACAACTGAGTACCCTGTAGTACTCTACGGTGACGACCATACCCTTCGACTGATTACCCTGTAGTACTCTACGGTGACGACCATACCCCTACGACTGAGTAAGCAGTAGTACTCTGTGGTGACGACCATACCCCTACGAATGAGTAGGCAGAAGTACTCTATAGTGACGACCATTCCCCTATGACTGAGTACCCCCTAGTACTCTACGGTGACGACCATACCCTACGACTGAGTAAGAAGTAGTACTCTACGTTGTCGACCATACCCTACGACTGAGTACCCTGTAGTACTCTACGATGATGATCATACCTTACGACTGAGTATGCAGTAGTACTCTACGTTTTTTTTCAGGGATATTCCTGCGCGGGCCCTAAGCGTCTGGCCGGGCCACTAAGTGTTGCTTGTTTCTGTTTTACTTGGGCGGAGTATGAGTATTTATGACTCGTATGGTCGCTTCAGTAAAATTTTGCCACATGTGTTTAACAACTTCTTCTGCTCTGTTGAATCTAAGTTGAAATCTTAATGGGTTTGTAACTGTGCACTGTGTGAGACAATGTTCCAATGGTCTACAGTGATGACCATACCCTATAACTAAGTACACAGTAGTACTCTATGGTGACGACCATACCTTACGACTGTGTACGCAGTAGTACTTTACAGTGACGACCATACCTTACGATTGAGTATGCAGTAGTACTCTACGGTGACAACTATACCCCTACGACTATGTACGCTGAAGTACTCTACGGTGACGATCATGCACGCAGTAGTACGCTACGGTGACGACAATACCCTACAACTGCGGGTAGTATGCAGTGGTACTCTACGGTGACAACTATACCCCTACGACTAAGTACCCTGAAGTACTCTACGGTGACGACCATGAACGCAGTAGTACGCTACGGTGACGACATTACCCTACGACTAAGTATGCTGTAGTTCTCTACTTTGACGACCATGTACGCAGTAATATGCTATGGTGACGACCATGTACGCAGTAGTACGCTACAGTGACGACCATACCCGTACGACTGAGTATGCAGTAGTACTCTACGGTGATGATTATACCCCTACGACTGAGTACGCAGTAGTACTCAACGGTGACGACCATACCCTACGACCGTGTACGCAGTAGTACTCAACGGTGACGACCATACCTTACGACTTAGTATGCAGTAGTATTCTACAGTGACGACCATACCCCTACGACTGAGTACGCTGCAGTTCTCTACGGTGATGAACATACCCTACGACTGAGTATGCAGCAGTACTCTACGGTGACGGCCATACCCCTACAACTGAGTCCGCTGCAGTACTCTAAGTTGACGAACATACCCCAACGACTGAGTACGCAGTAGTACGCTACGGTGATGACCATACCCTACGACTGTGCACGCTGTAGTACTCTACGGTGAAGACCATGTATGCAGTCGTACACTATGGTGACGACCATACCCCTACGACTGAGTACGCTGCAGTTCTCTACAGTGTCAAACATACCCTACGACTGAGTATGCAGTAGTACTCTACGGTGACGACCATACCCTACGACTGAGTACGCAATAGTACTCTACGGTCACGATCATACCCTACGACTGAGTACGTAGTAGTACTCAACGGTGACTACCATACCCTACGACTGAAAACGCTGTAGTACTCTACAGTGAAGACCATACCCATATGACTGAGTACACTGCAGTACTCTAGGGTGATTACCATACCCTATGACTGTGTATGCAGTAGTACTCTACGGTAAAGACCATACCCCTACGACTGTGTACACAGTAATACTCTCCAGTGACGACCATACCCTACAACTGAGTACACAGTGGTACTCTACAGTGACCACCATACCCCTACGACTGAGTACGCTGTAGTGCTGTACAGTGACGACCATACCCCTACGACTGAGTACGCTGCAGTTCTTTACGGTTACAAACATACCGTTGAGAACAAACACTCCATAGTGACAATACTGCCACTATGGCGGTGTGTCCACTCACAGGATGAGTGCCCCTGCCCAATACTGCCACTATGGCGGTGTGTCCACTCACAGGATGAGTGCCCCTGCCCAATACTGCCACTATGGCGGTGTGTCCACTCACAGGATGAGTGCCCCTGCCCAATACTGCCACTATGGGGGTGTGTTCACTCACAGGATGAGTGCCCCTGCCCAATACTGCCACTATGGCGGTGTGTCCACTCACAGGATGAGTGCCCCTGCCCAATACTGCCACTATGGCGGTGTGTCCACTCACAGGATGAGTGCCCCTGCCCAATACTGCCACTATGGCGGTGTGTCCACTCACAGGATGAGTGCCCCTGCCCAATACTGCCACTATGGCGGTGTGTTCACTCACAGGATGAGTGGGAGCTGCCCAATACTGCCACTATGGCGGTGTGTTCACTCACAGGATGAGTGGGAGCTGCCCAATACTGCCACTATGGCGGTGTGTTCACTCACAGGATGAGTGGGCGCTGCCCAATAAACTCGCCTCTCGGGGCAAAATTTAAAAAAATTGACTCAAGGAAACAAGATCATATAAGAGATATAATTTAGCAGCAGTCCCTCTCAGCCGTGCATCACGCACTAGCCATACACCAACCCAGCCTCCTGTTTAGAGAGTACGTTTGTAACTATGTGCACCACAGTACAAACATTGACATACTAGGCAATTACATAGTAGAATTTTGTATTATTCACTTTATAGATTCCGAAACAAATGAAGCTAAATAAAAAAAACTTCAATATTCCCAGGCCTAGTACAGCACACATATGTACTATATTAGGAGGCCTCAGATAGTGTATTAGGCCTAGGAAGGTTAGTTTAGTTTAGTTTATCTTTGCAACAGGTCCTCATCGTCACTATAAGTACTATCACACCAGGAGGACGGGTTGTCACAACCCACATCGCTTACGGCTGCAGAGTCGCAGTTGAAAATGATGCTAGGAGGCATAATGGTGCTAGGAGGTATAATGGTGCTAGGAGGCATAATGGTGCTAGGAGGCGTAATGGTGCTAGAAGGCATAATGGTGCTAGGTGGCATAATGGTGGTAGGAGACATAATGGTGCTAGGAGGCATAATGGTGGTAGGTGGCATAATGGTGGTAGGAGACAAAATGGTGCTATGAGGCATAATGATGCTAGGTGGCATAATGGTGCTAGGAGGCATAATGGTGGTAGGAGACATAATGGTGCTAGGAGGCATAATGGTGCTAGGCGCTATAATGGTGCTAGAAGGCATAATGGTGCTAGGAGGCATAATGGTGCTAGAAGGCATAATGGTGCTAGGAGACATAATGGTGCTAGGAGGCATAATGGTGCTAGGAGGGATAATGGTTCTAGGAGACATAATGGTGCTAGGAGGCATAATGATGCTAGGGGGCATAATGGTGCTAGGAGGCATAATGGTGCTAGGTGGCATAATGGTGGTAGGAGACATAATGGTGCTAGGAGGCATAATGATGCTAGGAGGCATAATGGTGCTAAGAGGCATAATGGTGGTAGGAGACATAATGGTGCTAGGAGGCATAATGGTGCTAGGAGGCATAATGGTGGTAGGAGACATAATGGTGCTAGGAGGCATAATGGTGCTAGGAGCTATAATGGTGCTAGAAGGCATAATGGTGCTAGGAGGCATAATGGTGCTAGAAGGCATAATGGTGGTAGGAGACATAATGGTGCTAGGAGGCATAATGATGCTAGGAGGCATAATGGTGCTAGGAGGCATAATGGTGGTAGGAGACATAATGGTGCTAGGAGGCATAATGGTGCTAGGCGCTATAATGGTACTAGAAGGCATAATGGTGCTAGGAGGCATAATGGTGCTAGAAGGCATAATGGTGCTAGGAGACATAATGGTGCTAGGAGGCATAATGGTGCTAGGAGGGATAATGGTTCTAGGAGACATAATGGTGCTAGGAGGCATAATGATGCTAGGGGGCATAATGGTGCTAGGAGGCATAATGGTGCTAGGTGGCATAATGGTGGTAGGAGACATAATGGTGCTAGGAGGCATAATGATGCTAGGAGGCATAATGGTGCTAAGAGGCATAATGGTGGTAGGAGACATAATGGTGCTAGGAGGCATAATGGTGCTAGGAGGCATAATGGTGGTAGGAGACATAATGGTGCTAGGAGGCATAATGGTGCTAGGAGCTATAATGGTGCTAGAAGGCATAATGGTGCTAGGAGGCATAATGGTGCTAGAAGGCATAATGGTGCTAGGAGACATAATGGTGCTAGGAGGCATAATGGTGCTAGGAGGGATAATGGTTCTAGGAGACATAATGGTGCTAGGAGGCATAATGATGCTAGGAGGCATAATGGTGCTAGGAGCCATAATGGTGCTAGGAGCCATAATGGTGCTAGGAGCCATACTGGTGCTAGGAGGCATAATGGTGCTAAGAGCCATAATGGTGCTAGAGGCATAATGGTGCTAGGATGCATAATGGTGCTAGGAGGCATAATGGTGCTAGGAGCCATAATGGTGCTGGGAGCCATAATGAAGCTAGGAGGCACAATGGTGCTAGGAGGCACAATGGTGCTATGAGGAATAATGGTGCTATTAGACATAATGGTGCTAGGAGACACAATGGTTCTAGGAGGCATAATGGAGCTAGGAGGCATAATGGTGCTAGGAGGCATAATGGTGCTAGGAGGCATAATGGTGCTAGGAGACATAATGGTGCTAGGAGACATAATGGTGCTATGAGGAATAATGGTGCTAGGAGACATAATGGTGCTAGGAGACAATGGTGCTAGGAGGCATAATGGTGTCAGGAGGCATAATGGAGCTAGGAGGCATAATGGGGCTAGGAGGCATAATGGTGCTATGAGGCATAATGGTGCTAGGAGGCATAATGGGGCTAGGAGGTATAATGGTGCTAGGAGGCATAATGGTGCTAGGAGGCATAACGGTGTCAGGAGGCATAATGGTGGTAGGAGACATAATGGTGCTAGGAGGCATAATGGTGCTAGGAGCTATAATGGTGCTAGAAGGCATAATGGTGCTAGGAGGCATAATGGTGCTAGAAGGCATAATGGTGCTATGAGACATAATGGTGCTAGGAGGCATAATGGTGCTAGGAGGGATAATGGTTCTAGGAGACATAATGGTGCTAGGAGGCATAATGATGCTAGGGGGCATAATGGTGCTAGGAGCCATAATGGTGCTAGGAGCCATAATGGTGCTAGGAGCCATAATGGTGCTAGGAGCCATACTGGTGCTAGGAGGCATAATGGTGCTAAGAGCCATAATGGTGCTAGGGACATAATGGTGCTAGGATGCATAATGGTGCTAGGAGGCATAATGGTGCTAGGAGCCATAATGGTGCTGGGAGCCATAATGAAGCTAGGAGGCACAATGGTGCTAGGAGGCACAATGGTGCTATGAGGAATAATGGTGCTATTAGACATAATGGTGCTAGGAGACACAATGGTTCTAGGAGGCATAATGGAGCTAGGAGGCATAATGGTGCTAGGAGGCATAATGGTGCTAGGAGGCATAATGGTGCTAGGAGACATAATGGTGCTAGGAGACATAATGGTGCTATGAGGAATAATGGTGCTAGGAGACATAATGGTGCTAGGAGACAATGGTGCTAGGAGGCATAATGGTGTCAGGAGGCATAATGGAGCTAGGAGGCATAATGGGGCTAGGAGGCATAATGGTGCTATGAGGCATAATGGTGCTAGGAGGCATAATGGGGCTAGGAGGTATAATGGTGCTAGGAGGCATAATGGTGCTAGGAGGAATAACGGTGTCAGGAGGCATAATGGAGCTAGGAGGCATAATGGTGCTAGGAGGCATAATGGTGCTAGGTATAATGGTGCTAAGAGCCATAATGGTGCTAGGAGGCATAATGGTGCTAGGAGGCATAATGGTGCTAGGAGGCATAATGATGCTAGGATGCATAATGGTGCTAGGAGGCATAATGGTGCTAGGAGACAATGGTGCTAGGAGACATAATGGTGCTAGGAGACATAATGGTGCTAGGAGCCATAATGGTGCTAGGAGCCATAATGGAGCAAGGAGACATAATGGTGCTAGGAGGCATAATGGTGCTAGGAGGCATAATGGTGCTAGGAGGCATACTGGTGTTAGGAGGCATAATGGGGCTAGGAGGCATAATGGTGCTAGGAGGCATAATGGTGCTAGGAGGCATAATGATGCTAGGAGACATAATGGTGCTAGGAGACATAATGGTGCTAGGAGGCATAATGGTGCTAGGAGGCATAATGGTGCTAGGAGACATAATGGTGCTAGGAGGCATAATGGTGCTAGGAGGCATAATGGTGCTAGGAGGCATAATGGTGCTAGGAGGCATAATGGTGCTAGGAGACAATGGTGCTAGGAGCATTAATGGTGCTAGGATGCATAATGGTGCTAGGAGGCATAATGGTGCTAGGAGGCATAATGGTGCTAGGAGACAATGGTGCTAGGAGCAATACTTGTGCTAGGAGGCATAATGGTGCTAGGAGCCATAATGATGCTAGAAGGCATAATGGTGCTAGGAGCCATAACGGTGATAGAAGGCATAATAGTGTTAACAAGACATAATGGTGCTAGCAAGCATAACGGTGTTAACAAGACATAATCATGTTAGCAAGACATAATGGTGTTGTGGGGGTAATGGAGTTAGCAAGACATAATGGAGTTAGCAGACATAATGGTGCTAGCAAGACATTATGGAGTTAGCAGACATAATGGTGCTAGCAAGACATAATGGTGTTAGCAAGACATAATGGAGTTAACAAGACATAATGGTGTTAGCAATACATAACAGTGTTAGCAAGGCAACAATAATTTAAGCAGAATATCGTTAGCAAGCCATAAAAGAGTTAGCAAGACATAATGGTGCTAACAAGACATACTTGTGTCAGGAAAACATAATGGTTATAGCAAAACATGATGGTGTTAGCAAGTCAATGGTTTTAGCAAGACATAATGGAGATAGCAAGACATAATGGAGATAGCAAGACATAACGGTGTTAGCAAGACGTAATGGAGTTAGCATGATGCAAATGGAGTTATTAAGACATAATGGCGTTAGCACCATTATGTCTGGTAGCAGATATAATGGTAATACCAGACATAATGGTCCTAAGAAGAAGAGTGATTCTTTTTCCATTTATACGAGCCCTGACCAACTGTTTATTAAACCACAATTCATATTATTAAGTCCAAAAGAGGACCAAGTTCACTGATTAAGTCGCAAACGTAAAATATTTCTGAAGGCCTTAGAAAACTGTGAATTTATTATTCAACCGAATAAATCCCTAGAATAAAGAGCATTAAACCTATGCCAAATTTTTTTACAGCCTAACATACATTTGGCAATGTAAACAAAAAAATATGGCATTTGCTCCTCTCAATTTTATCTCTTAAATTTATATTTAAAATTATTTAGAAATATACAATATATTTGCCGTGTTTGACTAAAATTAAATACGTATTGTTTTGCAAGGTCCAAGGAAGCCATTTCTAAAATGATAAAACATTCAGCAATATCCAGATATAATATCAATACATCTACTATACAGACAAATATATAATCCAAACACCAAAATAAAAACAATTAAGGATGTATTTATACGCATGAAAAGTAGTTAGGAAACATTATAATAATCGGTCAATTGAAAGTACGGGATCAATCGGATGCCCCCAGACGGGTAAACGGTGATATATTTAACATTACCGTCATATCCGGTCTTGTGTAGACGGTGTGTCCACTCTCCATGCGACCGCTGAGTCCCGCCTTGAGGACCACACCACACCAAGAGGACTAACAGCGTGTGTGAAGGGCCAAGAGTACAAGATATTGTCAGCTTGGAGGAGCGACCACGTCCTCCCTCACCCGTGGCCTGCGGGCTACTACTTCCTACTCACTATTAACCTGGTTTAACTATGCTCTTATTTAACTCATATTTGCCTCAAGTCTCTCAACACTCATTGGAAATCATATGAATGTGTTACGCCTGTATAACGAACCAGTGTTTGTCTTGAGTCAGAAAATCCATCTGCGAAACCTATTCATCTTTCCTCAATCATGGCGGCAGTGTTTATATATTTATTACATCAGTTTACGAGCTTGTACACTTCACAACCCAAGGTTGTTATTGTCATAAACAACCTGGTAGTGCTGCAGAGCTCATCAATGCACTTATCATATTCATCACATCCACTCATACTTGAGTGATGAGTTTAGATAGATCATTCACATAAATAAATCTAATCTAAATTCTAAATCACTCACATATTGGTTTTTCTCAGGACCAATACACATGGAGACAAAAAAAACAAAAAAAAAAAATATATATATATATATATATATATATATATATATATATATATATATATATATATATATATATATATATATATATATATATATATATATATATATATATATATATATATATATATATATATATATATATATAAACTAAACAATTAGTCGTTCTTGACTATAAGACTTCTCAATAGGCCTACACATGCCTAAGAGGCCTACAGTGCTTACACTCTCCCAATTATATATGTACTGCCATTTACCAATAAAGACTGATTGAAAATGCATATTAGAAACAGACAGATTAATTATTATATATACAAATGACTTAAAGAGCAGTCTAGTGTAATGTAATGCTCTTTAAAACTAACGACCACTAATGTGGAAAACATTGATATCAAATGTCAATAAAATTATAATATAAATGTATAGAAAAACTTTAGTTGAACTTTGTTCAACCCGTGAATGTATAATTTAAACCTTCATAGAGCTAGGCTATGAATATAGCATAATATCGCATATGATAAATGTTAGTAATATCTGCTGCTTCCAGTAGATATATGACTGTACTTGATCATTGGAACTGTTAGTGTACTTGGAAGGTACAAAAGTAGTTTATTATGAAACAAGCTCTAAAAGTCATTAGCAATTCAGAATTCCATTTTTGATGGCTAGGCTAGTGACCGTTACAGTGGCGAGAATATTTAACGAAAAGCACCTTTAGTCCTATTCAACATGATAAGTGAATATACATCAGCTTTTGAGAACTACGTCTACAAAAGGTGATGATTTGATGGTCTGAGAGCAGTTAGTAAGCTCAAAATGAACTTATGCATTTAAATACAATCTTTTATAGCCTAGAAGAGCGAAATACTTTCGAAATCTAAGAGTACTTTTTAATTTTTCATATTATCTTTACAATTCGTTATAAATGGAAAAGGAAAATAATATATGAGGAGAGAGAAAAATATTCAGATTTGTAATATATTTTTTTATTAATACATTAGGTACATCTGCATTTGTGTAGCTACCTTAGACTATATGAAGGGGAGTACAGTGTGTCGAAAAGCTAGCTACGTGATGCTAAAAAATCCCCATCACACAGGATGGTTAGTCATACAGAGGCATGTGATAAGTAGTCTGCACTGACAGACTCTCTGAGCACAAGAATAAATAAGGTAGCAGTGATAATAAAAGTCCCCATCTCGCAGGATGGTTTTCATCCTGGGTTTTCATTCCATGGTTTTCATCATTTCATCCAGCTTCATACAGGGCCTGCACTGGCAAATTTTGGGTACACTGTGAGGATATCCTCAAGAATACGTGAGTGAATAAAGTAATTGCAAAGCTCCAGGTACCTGATGCCAACTGGTCTGAAAGGTCTAATAACTGGGCATTCGGTGATGTAGTGTGGGAGATCATGCCGCAGTTCCTGCTCACAGAGTTTGCACCTGGAGTGCTCAGGATTGGGAGATCCGTCACCTGTAACTACCTGCCACATGTAACGGTAACCCAACCTTGATCCTGGCAACCACTGTGTCGCACAGTCTGGTGGATGTTTCGTGCTGCCCATAGATATAGGTTTTAGATCTGAACAAATTATAGCTTTTTATACTAGTGCTTTCAGGTCGTTGGGAGTCAGTAATTTCTCTCCTATCAGACGTGAGTGTTTGGACCAAAATAATTTGACAGTAGAGACGGGGATACCTAGATCTAATTCAACTTCATCTTTGTTGCACCCTAATTTGGTTGCAATGTCTGTCTCATTATGATGGGATATATTTATGTATGAAGGTATCCATACAAAGGAGATTCGAGACCCTTTACTCTGTGCAGTAATTAGGTCATTTATAATTGGTAGTATGAGATCGACAGCAAATATTCAGATACAATAATTAGGATTTGAGAAGGTTCACACTCCTGGTCTGTTCTGGTTCAGTGCAGTTCTGGTCGCATTATTGAGTAGACAAGCTACGGAGCTTAATTAGGTTGTTCAGCGTTGACCTGATCTCGTTGCGACCTAAACCCGATGTCAGGTGAAGATATATTTCTTTTTTTAGGAAGTCCTTAGAGTTTGTCTTAGGCTATTTGTGGCTAATCAAGTGCTTAATGTTTATCCTATCTTCTGTTTAACATAGTCGCAAGGGAGCTGAATTATGTTTCTCTGCTTAGAATTGCTTCAACATAGCCACAAGGGGGCTAAGGTGTGCTGTTGTCCCCTTCTCATTAACACAACATTGCAAGGTCTAAACATATTCTCCTGATAATGTGAACAGGTTTGGGTTCAGAAGTATAGCATGAGAAACTGTCCGAAGATCACTAAACATATACAAGTCAGTCTGCATCTGTTGTCTAGGGAAAAAGGAACTATCTGCATTACTTCTGCTCACACTGCAAAATCAAAACCTTGTCAACTGCCATCAAACACTCTGGGGTCACGTTACTCGTGCAATATTGCAGTAGATGGATTGCATTTGTCAATTTAAACAGCACTGTAACTCGGTGAGAGTTTCACTGTTGGTACGAGTTTGTAAAACCTTGCAAATTCACAGCTGAAAAAGGTACTACATTTCCAAATTAACCAGGACCAAAATACACTCTTCAATACACACTGGAGCAGGGCGAACTTAGTAGCAAAACTCTAAAATTCACCAACAGGTAAGAACAGGTAACAGTGCCGCCATACACTCTTAAACCAGTTAACTGATAAATGAATAGCAGGAAAAAACAAACAAAATACAACAGGATGCATTAATTTAGTCCTTGTTAAGCCGTAAGAAAGCCTCACGCACATAAAAACTTCAAACAGCCTAAAGTTTTCTTTCCACACATACGCAGGAGTCATCCTCGATAGCTCACAGTCGCTCGCTCTACAAGCACTCCATAAAACCTCAATGTTAATCTTCCATCAGGAATACATACTTGTAGAGCTGCCAACCATTATGATTTAGAGACAATGATGGGACGCCACATTCGTAACTCGGAGCCTCGGGTTCCATCACAATGGGTTCTATCACAACGGGTTCCATCACAACGGG